TAGTGGGGCAGGCAATACAAATCAGCTGCAATGATGGAAATAATCAAATCTTTAATCTACTCGGTAAAATGTGGTGGCTCGCGACAATAGCCCGAGGGTTCAAAAAAGCCATCTCGGCGCAGTTCATATACCAGTCATATTTTCCGTCTGCACAGCTAAGGGAAGCATAGGTGAGATACGAAGACCCAATGCAACAACAAAAGATACATCGCTCTCCATGGCGTCAGCTTGGCATTGAGTCAATCGAGTCTTGTCCAGTGACCGTCCTATCCAGCATCGATGATGAGCGTGTTCATATTCTGTTGGTTGAGCTGGTGATCATACCTCAAGACCAATACAGACTGATCTTGGTCTGATATACATGGTTCGGCATCCAAGTAAACCTCCAGTCGCATCACTGCTGCCGACGCAGGGATCGGCCGATCTTCTGGCCCTCTGTAGCTTTATTTGAACCCTGCCTGGATCCCTTCTGGATTTCACTTTCGACGATTGCCAATCGACCAAAAATGTCGGCCAGATCATTGCGTATCGTTTCATTCCAGGTGGCTTGCTCCTGCGATGAGCGCTCAATAGACCTGCGGAGACTGTCAGCGCTTTACATTGTTACTCAAGATGGACCACAACTGACCGCATCCGGTTATCTAGTCTGAATGTTGTTAGCAGGTCATGATTATGTGCTTGATGGGATTGTACTTACTCCGTCAGGCATTCCAGAGCAACCGAATTGCCATCTCCGGAAAGCTGAGTCTGCCTGCGTGGTTCCAAGTCACTTTGGTGTCCACACACAGTCTTCCGCTGTCGTACAGATTCTTGCTCACTCTCATCTGCCGAGGTGCTATTGTCCTGGTCGACAGAGTCATGTTCCTCCTGAAAGGATGAATCGTCCTCCGTGGTATCGCCGGTAGCAGATCGGGATGGACTACCAGTATCTTCAGACTCAGAGGACGACAAGGACAATGCACGTTGCAATCGGCTTCGAAAGTTTTGTCGTCGAGGAGCGTGCGAGACTTTTCGAATTCCGCCCATACTTGGGTCTGACTTACGCTGGGGTGAGGAGTGGTCCTAGTTCTGGTTTTCCGTGATAGGAGGAGGCGCTCGGGTTTTATAGCATGTTGTATGGCGGGATCAGGATTGACTGTTTGCTTGCTCGCAATTGAGGAGGGGATCGCAAGTGCCCGCATTTTTCATTCCTACTTTCTACCCGCAGATATCTGTTTCTGAATCTGCACATTTTTTAACAATGACTCACTGAGAGGCGGATCAGACAATAGAATTCAACAATTGGTGAAACAACGGGAAATTGTCAACAAGAACGGACTCTTGTGGCCGCGTTCAACGTTGTTGATTCTCAACGAAGCAGAGTGCATCAAAAGTTGAGGCATTGTTGATTCTCAACGAAACGTAGTGCATCAATGAGGGCCTTTTGGTCTTCAGAACTTTGAGGTGGTGCGAGTAGTGAGAGTCTGATACCGGCTCACCAGGCTAGGCCAAAGCTCATAATACACAGTAGTCGGCTTTTACCTGCCACACACACCACACTATAACCTTTTAAACTCAACAACCCTACACCTTCCAAACCACTTTCTGCTGTTTCGTTCACCCGTTTTCGGCTACTTTCGCAACTTGCCCGAGCATCACCATGTCCCAACGTAGCGCACACGGCTGGCCAGAATGGGAGGAGAAGAATCTTCTCCCATGGTTGGAGGCCCATCCGGAGCTGTCGTGGAAAGCCCTTTCCGAGGCATATTATGAAGAATATCAGGTGCATCGAAGCGTTGAATCTTTACGAGGCAAAAAGTACCATATTCTGCGGAAGCAGAGTCGCACTGGCGCCAAAGCTTCCCAAAGTCCAGGCAAACCAAGGCGAGCCGTTGCCGTACGACGCTCCGTGGTCGACAGCGCTTCACAGTCGAGTCTTTCAGCCAAGACCCCTGCCCAAAGAAACATCGACAAATGGTTCCAAACAATTCTAGCGGCCGACCCTAACCAGCCTGATGACAGCAAAAAGCCAACTCAAACGAACTCAATTTCAGGTACGAAAACACTTAATCGTCTCATATTACATGCTGACCCTTTGTCACAGACCGCTTGACGCCAGCACCGCTTCCGAGCCGGCCTAAAAGAACACGGTCGTCATCCTGGAGGTGGGACTATGTGCATCGTGTCTGTGCTGCTAGGAAGCTGAGATACCGGCGAACAGAGCGTGCACTTTAACAGCATTCATAGGCTGGATCGCTACACTGCGATGTCCAAGGAACAGTGGCCAACTATCTTGATAAACAAGTCCTGGTGCATGTTCCTACATCAAAGGCTGTGATCAGCAATGAAGCCTCAGCATGAGGAATATAAGCGTAGTTGTATATCGTTCCATGTATTCCGTAGAGGAAGTAGCAATCGCCCTTCTTAGGAATGACAACAATATAGAGGATGTCCCAAAGTCAAAGTTAAGGAATCGAGCACGACGGTGGTGCCCTTGGAACAGGCCCGCCTACATATTTTCATCCTTGTAATGCAAAACCAGGAGGATTTCATCGGAGTGTTATGTGGCCCGGTAAGTACTGCGGACAGCGAATAAGGATTCACGATACTATGAGTGTTCCCATGGGGAGACAGGACATGGTAGCAAGGGGGCTCTGGGGAAATGGAAATACGGCATTGTTGTTGGCTCAAGGTAATACGTCTGCTTGGATTTGATAGGGTCGATGGTCGAAAGCAGGGTAATCTTTGGGGTGAAGCGTACGATTTGTTTTGACCTACACCCAAGTCAGGAGGAAATTAGTTAGACAGAGACCGTGGAATCACAAGGGCAGCTGACGATCATTAGCGGAACCGCAAATCATTCGACCGCTAAGTTTGGACGACCCATGGAATCGCCTGCTCGGTGAGAGAATGCGGTCGTCACGAAGGATTCAGGCCCGGGCTTCTGCCCCACTTGCGTTCTCGGTTGCTCGTGATTAAGCCCTACAGCCCAAAAGAGAAGCCCAGAGAATTGGGGCAGATTCACGACAGTCTCGACCTGCCCGTGTACGGGGAATTCGAAGAGACCAGCAGTGTACTAGAAAGATTCTCTCTCGCTACAGTCGTAATCAAGATGCGGAGGGTAATTGAGATAAAGTTTAGGTGCCGCAGGAGGGCCGGCCCACAACCTCAACCCATTTCCGGCAGCCAATCGGTTCCTCGGTTTTAGTGCAAAAACCGGAGATATTTTTACATAAGCTCATGAGATCTGTCCATGATTGGCATGGTTTCTACAAGCTATCCGCTAGGGATATGGGACTGACGATTGAACTGGGCCGATGAGGGGGCTGTGTCGGATTCAGAGAATACAATCTCTACGGGGAAGCTTAACGCAGGACAGAAGATATAGCTTCTAGAACGTTCGACAGACCTGATAGACAAGGAGCAACTTGCCACTTGACAGGAGAATTATTCTCCTGTGACAGGAACCAGGAAAGCATAACCACGGATCGGGATTTAGCCTACCATTCTGTTGCCAAAATTCCGCGTGATATTCCAAATACCTCACCTGCCTGGACCGTACCTCGGCCGTACCCTCTACGCAACAAAGTCCTTTTCCATCAGACACTGACGGCCGTCAAGTTTGGGCTTGTGGATCGGTCTGGACCTTTGCAAATCCTTCACTTCTTCTCCGGGCCATAAATAGAACCTCCTTGATCTAGTGTCCCGTGGGTCGTCGCTGGGATCTGCATCGCAGAACCGTACCTGCGTCTGTCTAAATTCGCGCATTCTGTTTGATTGGTCCGTCGGGGTGCTATTTGTATCCAGAGTCTGATCAATGTGATAGTAGCGTTGCAATCTTGCGAGGGGGTGGCGATCACGCGAACCTAGCTCGTGGGCCTGGTTGCACATTTCACATGGTTGTCCTAGGCTCGGTTTCCTATGGAAACTTTCCAATAAGCTCTGGGCTTTTGTTTATGCCCTCCCAAAGAAGGACAATCCTCATCCTGAGCTTGAGAGTATGTCAATATCTGTGCGGTAAGGGAGGAGAGATTCTGGTAAAAGCAACATTAGCTGGCTGCGAGTAGACAGGGAAGAAACAACATTCAGCGGCGCGGGGCCAAGGATGAACAGGATTGATTCGAGCGAGACCAAAGGATCCTCCAGCCAACCGCAGGCACAGTCCAGCGTTTCTGTCAGCCAGAAAAGTTCCAACCTATTATTTTGGCATCTGTTGAAGCACTTCAACTGTCCTGAAAGAGACGGTGACCGTGGCCAAAACAGGCAGATGTAGGGTTCCACCGCGTTGAGCGATTTAATTGCAAACTCAACAATATGTAGGAATCACATTTTTGCCGCGTTGCTTTCTTTCAACAGTTGATGAAAGCGGTTCGCCATACTCAACGCAAGATTTGAGAAAAATGATCCCAGGTCGAAACTTGAGTCTATAGGCCACAAATCCTCCAAACACCATTTCAACGTCGTTCGACTTGCTTCAACGCCAACCAAAGGACAGTGATCTCTCTACCCTCGGCGCAATGGTTCCACGGTAGAGACTTGACCGAAAAATTATAAAAGGGGCCGGATTCCCAGCCCAAAAAACTCAGGACTTCGGTCCTCACACTTTGGTCCTCACACTTTGATGCATCATAGTGTCCCTCTCTTTCCTGCGGGCCTGAGAGCTTCCGTGACCACGGCTGTCGCTGCCACGAGCCCAGCGATGTAAGACTGTGCTCCCTCGCTGCCATGAGCCCCGCGAGCGTAAAATGGTGCTTCGCAGGATAGGTCTGCGTCAACAATAATCCTCGCAGGGAGGTGCTGCGAAAACAAGACTATCTCGCAGGATAGGTCTGCGTGAGCAATAATCCTCGCAGGGAGGTGCTGCGAAAACAAGACTACCTCGCAGGATAGGTCTGCGTGAACAACAATCCTCGCAGGATAGGTCTGCGTGAACAATAATCCTCGCAGGGGGGCGCTGTGATGACAAGTGAGACCCGCAGGAGACCGCTGCGTTAACAAGTTCTCCGCAGCCTAGGTCCTGCGTCAACAAAGCGCCTCGCAGGGACATTTGCGACACCAAGAGTCTCCGCAGGATGGGCTCTGCGTGATCAAGTGTTCCTCGCAGGATGGGCTCTGCGTCAACAAGTGTGCCTCGCAGGATGGGCTCTGCGTGAACAAGTGTGCTTCGCACGATGGGCTCTGCGTCAACAAGTGTGCCTCGCAGGATGGGCTCTGCGTGAACAAGTGTGCTTCGCACGATGGGCTCTGCGTCAACAAGTGTGCCTCGCAGGATGGGCTCTGCGTCAACAAATGTGCCTCGCAGGGTGGGCTCTGCGAAACCAAGAACTCCAGACCTTCCGTGACCACGGCTGTCGCTGCCACGAGCCCAGCGATGTAAGATTTGCGCTCCCTCACAGCCAATGAGCCCTGTGACTGTAAAAATGTGCTCCCTCACAGCCAATGAGCCCTGTGACTGTAAAAGTGTGCTCCCTCACAGCCAATGAGCCCTGTGACTGTAAAAATGTGCTCCCTCGCTGCCCTGAGCCCCGCGAGTGTAAGAAGGTGCTTCGCAGGACGAGCTCTGCGTCAACAAACGTGCTTTGCAGGGGATTGCTGCGTTAACAAGCCCTCTAGCAATGTGCAGGCACCTCTTCGTGGTGTTAGAGACCAGTATTCGATATTCAACAGTATTCGAAGAAGCAAAAACCTGCCCAACCTCCTCATAGTCTGTTTCTTTTTCCGAAGGATCATCATTGGACAGATAGAATGAGCCCTAGATAGATCGATCGTCCCAAATTCAATGGCCAAAATTATACGATAACAACGAAAGTGACATTTCTATCAAAGGGGAGGTTCCCAAATGTTCTGCACTGATAGTTTACGGTCCGATAGTCCTTTCGCGTAGTGAAATTGACACCCTTCATTCAGGCGTAGAGCAAACATGTTGGTGAGAATTGGTGAGAGTGTTGACGTGTTGGTGTTTTGATGTGTTGAGAGTTGAGAGTTGATGTGTTGAGAGTTGATACGTTGATGTGTTGATACGTTGATGTGTTGATGCGTTGATGTATTGATGTGTTGAGAGTTGAGAGTTGATGCGTTGATGTTTGATGTTGATGTTTGATGTTGATGTTTGATGTTGATGTTTGATGTTGATGTTTGATGTTGATGTTTGATGTTGATGTTTGATGTTGATGTTTGATGTTGATGTTTGATGTTGATGTTTGATGTTGATGTTTGATGTTGATGTTTGATGTTGATGTTTGATGTTGATGTTTGATGTTGATGTTTGATGTTGATGTTTGATGTTGATGTTTGATGTTGATGTTTGATGTTGATGTTTGATGTTGATGTTTGATGTTGATGTTTGATGTTGGTGTTTAGTGTTGATGTGGTGAATGGTCGGGTGGTGAAGGGAGCGCTGGTCACCGTCTCATGGAGGCAACGCGGTCTCTTGCCATGTCCCCTACATCATAGAAACTTCAATTGCCTTTCTTTTTTTTTGATCCTGCAAAGCAATTTTGGTCCCTGTTGGTCACGCCTTGACTACGGCCTCCAACTCAGTTGAGATGATTTAATCTACAAGTTGCTCAACTATGATCACGCAATATACTGTACGCTCAACAGAACGACGGAGTGTAGAGCCATGTGATGAGGTCTCGCTCGAAAACACGAATGGCGGGCAAACATTATGGTACGATAGGCTCTATTCCTTGTGTAGTCAGAGCTGTTTCTCCACATGAATATTGCGTGTCGCTCGAACGTACCTT